CTAGGCTGATTAATGATTCGTTTATCGAATTGCTATCGTTATAAGTCATTGTTGACCTTCTCGAACTGGTGCTTGAAGTCTCGGAACTACGTACATAAATAAGTATTACTTCACAAAAGAATAATAGTTATGTATAATACGAGTGGTAAAAGAAAGAAAACTTTGTATGTAGAAAATAGGGCACGAGTTCAATAGAGAAGAAGCGGAAACCTGCTACAACCATCCAAAAATAACTCTTTCACTAAGGGCCAATTTCACCAAACAAAGAGTAAGAGTTTAACTCTGGAGTAAATCATGTTTACTCAGAGGTAACTTCTTGGAGCGTTTCACCAACATTTACTCGAGTGTAAATCGCTTACACGAAGAAATTCGAGAGTAACTTTACACCGCGAAAATCCGTCGGGTAAAGTACGGAGTAAATTCAGTTTATCAACGTGATGTACTCGAAGTGTTGTACGGTTCGACGATTACGAATGATGTATTTGTAGACGATTCCAGCAATGATATCGGAATTATCCACTAGTGCGAAGAAAAGGGTGCGAGAGAGAAATGGATTGGTTTTAATTTTGATGATCGAGATTTTGTCATGAGGTTATGTTTGACCAAATCAGCTGTTTAACTTCATCAGATACATTGTAAAGTGTAGAGAACTTCAAAGTTATTTTTTCCCTGTGATACGAAATAACGATAGTAGGTACCGATACGACAACAAAAGGAAAAATAACTACAGGAACTACAAGTTCTAAGAAATATTCATTTATTTATTCAGTAAAAAACTCTGTGACGTATGGGGAAGATCATTTGCCCACGTTTTCTTGAGTTCCAGAATCCTTTCAACATTTTAACTACCAAATATGTTGAAAGGTGAATAAAAGTTAAAAAATAAAACAACAAATAATAATAAAATTTAGAAAATCACGAGATCAGCAACATTTGAGAAACTAAACATTTTCGTTCCCTAGTTAAGAAAATTAATTTGCACCGTCATCGTAAAGGAACTGCAAATTTGATTTTTCATGCATTGCTAAAAAATAGTAACTCGTCTCCAGAGAAGAAGAATGAATATTTATTAAGAAATAAAGATACATAAACTAGGAATAAACTATGCTAACTCAAACCACATAACAACACACCCGATTATAACGCCCAGAACCCGAAACTGAAATGAAATATAGAATATAAGGAATTAATCAAAGGTTGCGTTGGTCCGCATTGTTCCCAGCGTCATTCTCCTCACAGCTCTTGAATCAGCTCTCAAATATTGTGTGTTCAGCTGATTTGCGGATAAATCGGAGAGTATGTACTCTAGAGTAAAATAACCTCTAGAAGCATGGTGAAACGCTATATTCTACTCGAGAGTTACTATCTGGAGTTAATGGTACTCTCGGGTAACTACTCTCAACTTTACTCGGCTGTTGGTGAAACCGGCCCTAAGTGTCACACTAGTTTTTAGACTACATTACTGTCTTCCTTACTATTTCAATTAATCAGTTGTATCTGATCACACGAATGAGTTTTGTTTTGTTTTGTTTTGTTTGTTACATTCGCAGTGTTACGTGAACACTTGAGTAATGTCACTTTTAGCACTAGTATTACTGAACTAGTACTGATTATTTTAGTACTAGTACTAGTAAGACAGAAAATTTAGCACGCTATTCATGCCTTGATAAAACGTTTTACGTTCGGTTGTCTACAAGAGCGCTGTTTATTTTACAATAGACACCAAAATGAATGATGATTATGTACCTGTAAAGGGCGATTTTATTTGCAGACTTTCCTCAAGAATTCGAAAAACCAGTCCAAGCCGAAATTAGTTGTGAATGGCCTTGCTTGTTCCCTTGGCCGAGGATTACTTACGTTAAACGGTAAGATGGATGTTCACTATACGTGCTAATTCTAGAAATGGAATCTAATATCTTTTTATATAATAATTTATTGAAAATTGCTATTTTGTGACGTTTTATATAACTATAGTATTGATAGAAAATTCCTTAATGAAATCTGTTCCTTAAAGACGGATCTTTAGATAATTTTACGTTAAAATATTTTAAAGTAGAGTACTTTTTGTGTAATTCGCCGGGAAATATATGCAAATAATCAAATCAAATAATCAGGTTATGTCATACTATCATACCTATTCAAAATATTAGTATTATTATAAAGATCAATGCATGTTGCTCCAAGATTTGTATAAATATTTTATTATTAAAATTGTAGATAAAAAGCACATTATCCCCTAGCGGACCACTAGTTTCTATTTCAAGTCACGAAATAGGTTTTAGACACGTAATGAGATGAGCAAACTTGTACGATTCAACAGTCGGAAATCGTCCAATGGGCATGGATAAAGCCGTGCTCTTGAGCCCCATACGTGGGAGGTAATTTTCAGTATGCAACGGGAATTAAATTCAAGTGAATAAAATACTTCTGCAAGCAGATTTAGATATATGGTATTAATTTCCAGATCTTTTTACTGCATTACTTTGTGTGATGTGAAGTCGTTAAAATGTTTTCCAGGAGAAGAATGGAGTCGGCATTACAAAATTGTGAAGCCACCCTTCCATCAGAAACTCCTTAAAAGTTATGTGTCAGTGTTTAATCGAAAGAGTGATGTTTTTGTGGAACATCTGGCTGAGTACGCGAATGGCTCTTCTTTTAATGTGAAACATATGACAGAAACTCTCGAATCTATTATAGTATTTGGTGAGTAAAACAAATACACTTCATTTCATTCTGTACCATGATGAGAACATATGGATGAGCTGGACTGGGGCAAAGAGTTTTGCTCTACGCACCACTATTTGCGTCACGAACCACGTGACCTCAGTTTGAAACGCTGAGTCGTAATCTAGCCGCCATGCTGCAAGGCAAGCGAGAAGTGTTGAAAAGTATTTTGAAGTGGCATGAACTGATAATTTTTTACGGTGACCAAACAAAAGTAAAACAAAGAAGGAGTATTTGAAAAAAAAGATACAATGTTTTGTTTAAAAATCTTCATATCTGTTTCAATGGCTTATAACGAGAAAATTCGGTACCTGGTTGCATTTATAATTCCTTATATCCCTTAATATTGTGACGAAAAACAGTGCATAAATCAGGGTAACGAACCCATGTCTTCTCATCATGATTCTGTACTAAATAATTCGAAGAGTGCAATGAATTTTGTTTGTCAACAGAAACTTTCTTCGGCATACCTGCAAATAATAAACAAACTAATCCATATCAAGACTTGTTCGAGATGGTGTTAGCGTAAGTTTTTTTAAAAAATAATTATTCATTATCTATGTCTATATATAACGTGTCATTTTTTAAAAATTTTCCCTTGAATATTCTAAATTGAAAATTAATTGTTCATCCTCATATATCTCCACAATTTCAAAGTTGTACGTGTCCATTGCCAGTGTCTGTTGTACCAACATTTCCATGTAAATAGCAGTGAGCCATTACCATGTTCTGCCACTTTCTCGGCAGTGAAACAGCTGTATAATATGGGATGTGGAAACTTAGTTAAATTTGCTTACCGTCTGACAGAAAAGACACTGTTACTAACGTCCCTAGATAGTCGGAGCATGGAATATGTTCTGATAGTATTCCATAAATATATAATTCAGTCTCTCTGCAATGTTTGGGAGGTCAATATAATATTTTACATTACAAAATCACTGCAAATTTATTGATACAGTATGAAAATGGTAGTAAATATTGAATGTCGTAGCTGTCATAAGATACAGGATTTAACACCAAATTTCAATGCTCCATAACAATAGAATATGACGATGAAAAGGACTCTACAGAAGTTTGTGTTGTGGCTAAATAGTTCTAGAGATATATCTCCAAAGTCTAGTGGCTTTGCCAATTACTCACACCAACTATGGGTTTCTAGAAGTTAGAAAATATTGTATTGGAGATTCAAATACTTCTTACCAGGCAAGATAATGATTCATTGGCAGCTAGATTTTGACATTACAGAGCAATTACTGGATCTCGCTATTTAATTTTTTAGTAAGAAATTTTGAAGTTGAAACTAAATTAAAAATGTCGAATTTTCCATCGTTACAATTATGCCCAAGTTATTTTGGTGAAGTGGCGTATGAGAAATGTCAGATTTTCATTCTAGTGTTTTTGAATCCCAAGAATTCCCTAATTTGCCACGTGGTGATGTTGTAGATTATTGGGAAGACGACATCGAACTTGCAGAACCATAATTACCTATCTTGATACTATACTGTACTGTACTGTACTATCCTATACTATGCTGTGCTGTACTGTACTGTACTGTACTGTACTGTACTATAGCTTCTTTGCAGAGAAATAATCATTGTGTAAAAGTTCTTCTCATAAACAAGGCCACACCGACCTAAACAATGAACAATATTATGAGATAAAGAAAGCTTCTACAAAGAGATGTGGTAACTGTGAGACGGATAAATATGAAAAACAATTCTTTAGCAGATGTGACCCAACGAGTTGTTAAAACATTTAATTATGAGAATTGCGGAAGACCATTTTTCTTTGTCAGATTTTTTAACCGTAAGAATATCTCTCGCCGGAAGAACTTTTGCAGAAATTGTAATGTGGGAAACTTCGTCCACAAGCGGCTTGCTGCCGGGACCGGATCTCCTCGGCCTTCGATGTGACAGTCGTGCACGAGCGCCAAGGCTTGTAATATAAGTGGTATTGTCATTAGAGGCAACCATTCAATATACAATGAATGATAGCCTTCTTTTTATTATTTAAGTCACATCAACAGATAGGTCATTACCCACCACTACATATTAATGATATGGTTAAGAGAATGATGTGATATGGGGATTGTGAAGGGTGAAAGGACGAACACAAATACAAACATCCCTCCAAACTCGAACCCCCGATCCTCCAGTCCAAGATCGCTACGGCACTACTGCCTTAACGATCTCTCCCGTCCGTATGACAATGATAACCATTGCATGTGAAATGAATGATATTCAGCATCCTATTTTTAAGTATTTAATTTTTTACAGAGGGCAAAGAGAGTTGTCGCACCGCCTGACACGCCCGTGGCTGTATATTGAAGCATTTTACAATTTAACATCAGCTGGTCGCAGAGCAAAGGCTTGTCTGAATCAAGGTTACAAATTAATGGATGAGGTAAATACCCCCAACTTTTTAATAGTTATATTTTGTGTATCTTCAAAAATGAAATTATCTCTTTAAAAACAATCATTATACTGGCCAGATTAAATGACGAAAACTTCTAGGGTGTGGGGTCGAAGATTATCATTTTTTGTCAATAAACATGAAGTAAAAATCTTTCATTACGCAGTTACACGTAAATATGAGTGAATACATCAGATCACACGAGTAATATTTTAATGCTTTCTATGCTTTAAATGCTTATTACACAATATTAATGAGATAATATATAGTTATTATTCAAAATATTTTTACTTAGTATTTATGATTTATTATGGTACCTGCAAACGGTGACGCGGCCCCGGGTTCGATTCTTGATCGAGTCAAGACTATAGTGTGCGTTTTCCTCGCAATGTCGATATGTTGCTGTGTGATGATGACAGAATTCACCTCTCAGGTTGAGATGACCGGAGTACGGCGTGGGGAGGTCTACGTGCTAAGCACACTACCCCTTTAGCCATAGCCGTGGGGCAGGGAAGTCAACGATAGGCCTGAGCCTGTTCATGAGCTGTCAAGCCATTAATACCTACCAGCAAGGTGATATTATACAAAAGCGAGGTCATTCACGTACATACGCTTTATTTCATTCATTTATGAAGTTCGTTCAAAGACTTGTTACTCAATAACATGGTCACTATTTGGATTTCCTTACGACTGCGGAATATATTCTCAGAGCGTAATTGCGTCTACCAAGGTGACGGGAATGGTGGCAAATTATATATTTATTTATTTATTCTATACTACTAACTTTCAAAAGTGAATATTCGATTCTGTTTACCGCCCATCCTTGTCAGTAAGTCTCCAAGAACCTCCTAAAAGATTCTTATGTTAGTCTACATAAGAGGCAGGTAAACTGCACTGTTATTTACGACCCTTTCAGACAAGAAGCGTGCATAATGGTTTGTGTTTTTTTCTCCTTGCACAGCGTTTTCGACTGGTCTCTGCATCCTGAGCAAGAAGGGTTATCCAGATTTTACAGTAATATATTCCATTTACGTATTTGAAGGCTTCTAAAAGGTCACTTCATTCTCTCCTTGTTCCAGTTTTTTCCGGATTTAATTTCCCGATTCTTCCGGTGCATTTTAGTTATAGCGTTTGAGGAATTTTCGTAATTTTTCTCTATGTGGAAAAACCCTTACTATGACCTCATTCCAGTACATAGACAGTAGCAGCCAATGAGAATAAACGTTCTTCTGCACGTTTTAAAATGGCATTAATTGAATCATAGTCTGAAAGAAAATTCTAGCGTCCGGTTGCTCGGATCGTTCACTTTCCAGGAATACGAGTACTTCAATCAATACCAGAGGAATGCCGCAGTAACCCCTTAAAACTACGCGATGGACCGCACGCAATCTTTCCGTTCCCATCCCTACACTTCTCGGTTGAATGATTGTTTTACTTATTCCGGGCACGTCAACTACCAGGTCCCATACGTATAGTGCATGTTTTTGCTCGGGAGGGGGCAGTGATTTTTTCCCTTGCTGTTGCGATCCGGCGCCGACCTACAGTCGGATAGCGATGTTTTCCCCAGCCAGGTATCTCCCACCAGCTGAGCACTGCCCCAGCCGGGACAAGCTCTAAGCTCCCGATCGGTCTCCCGGCATGTGTACTTGTGTATTGTGTGTTGCGTGTGTATGTAAGGGGAGAGGATAGCACAAGAAAGAGGTAGGAAAGATGTCGCTCGTTCTGGGGCCCATTTAGTAGGGTACTCCTCCGGCATTCGCCTGTTGTTGATCGGAGAAACCACGGAAAACTGTATCACAGCAGTCGGCCGCTAGAATTCTCCCTCAGACAGCGACTGAATTCGACCAAGAAGACAAGCTAATGTCGGAAATTATGCAACCCTCTGGAAACTAACCTAGGATGTACTCGTAATGTTTGATCTTTGCCCTGGCAACATACATTTACCATATACGTCGCAAAACATATTTGGGCCATTTTTACATTTTATATTCACGTTAATAAAGGATATGTAGCCATCTTAAACATACTACACTCAAATACTTTTAACAATCTGTCTTAAAATATTTTTGTATTTGCATTAACATATAGTAAATATCACATCTCAAAAATAGTGGCTTGCATAGAATAAAAACTGGAGCTGATATGGAAATACCAATTGCAGATTTGAAATGGACCTGAAAAGCTTATAAAGAAACAAATTTACTGACATCAAAAATGACACAGACCAGTGTAATCAATCAAGCACCTTTGCATGACGAAGAAATTGAACTGGAAATGTTTTCTGTTTCCTTGCATGAATCGATTTATCACTACTAAAAAGTATTTAGAGATTTAACTACATATACAAGACTCCCTTTGTTTAAAGAGCGTTATTTATTTCGTGGGTATCCTTTTTTGCAGGTGGTCGAGCAACGAAAAGAAATACTCCGCTCCGAAGCTAGGAGTTCACTGATGAAGGGCATTGACAAGAAATCCGAGGACATGCCAAACGTTCCTCCTACCACAGAAACAGATGCAGACGCCAACAAAAAGCAGCACAATATACTGATAGACTCTCTGCTCCAGGAACATGGAAGGTCTTTGTCTTACGAGAGTGTATTAGATGAACTGCTGATATTCTTCCTGGCTGTGAGTCACCACTAAAGTCATTAGAAACTTGAACTTCAATATAATCCAATGGCAAAAATCACTACTTCTGCTGAATTTTCTGTGCATAATTTTACTATTTCTTATGTTTAATAATAATAATAATAATATAATGATGAGGATGATAACTATAATGATAACAATGATAAATGTATATAATAAGATTGCCTATATATATAATGTAGGATTGCCTTTTTAATCATGGCAGCATTAAGTTTGAAGCATTAAACTGTTCTATTGTAACAAAATCAGTCTGATATCAGGCAACAATAGCAATTCCAAAACGTGTAATATCTCATGGAGGATAAGTAATATATTAAAGCTCTAAAGAGAACGACATTCATGGCCCTCCTAACGAGCTGGCAATGAACGGTATTAAACGTGTAAGGTACAAATAAGAGTGGAGGACGCTGTATATTGAATAGATAGCTGGTTACACAATTTGCGTTTTAAAAGCGCGGCTACAATTGAAACGGGAAGATGGCGTCATGCGCAACATGGCAAGTTTGCGGGAAATGGAAGAACGGTTGCTCCGTCTTAGATATCATGTTGTGTGAAAATTAAAATGGTGATTTGTGACTATCAAAAATTTTAAGTATTAAATGTATATTAAAAATCATTCTCGTAATATTTGCGGAATACATGCGGAAAGAGAAGAGTCAGACATCAGAACTGCCATGTCCCCTAACATAAAAACATCAGTGATGACATTAAAAAAATCAGTAATTAAATTAAAGTTGATAGTAGGATTTGCTGTTGTAGACCAAAATAATAACCGTGTATATATGTTTAAATATCGTGGTAAATGTAATGCATAATTATATTCATACATGTGTAGTATTTTCTTTCTGCGACTCTTCTGTGCACTATAACAGTCTCGCTCCTTTTTTCAGGGTTTCGAGACCACTGCTATTGTTCTACAGTTTGCCTTTTACTATTTAGCCAAAAATCCTCACGTTCAGGTATGCTAAGTTATGTAATATTTTACACAATATCATTAAAACTAAATCATTAAGCTGAGTAAAGGAACATTCCAGCACTCCCCAAAATATTATTACCTCACTGTACGACATGAATCGATTGATTTGTGTATCCGGGCGCGTTAACGGCCAGGGTCACTTGTCCCGTAAGTGTAGTTCAGCCACGCCTCTTCGTAAAGTGTTTATTTACGGCTCTAGTAAAGACATCACTACACAAAATTCTTAATATAAGGTATGTGCACGTATGAAAGAAATATATTGCAACATAAAATATTGAAATTTAATTATGTGTAAAACTGCCTTAACGTGCCTTCAATTTCAGAAAAAGAAAACTGGAATGTAAATGGCATGAGCGAATATTTTTATATATATTTTTCGGGAGGCGTTCAAATCCTTTTTCTGAGAGTTTCACAGCGAATGGCTCATGAATTTTTGTAATGAAGAGAGCTCTTTATTTATAATTGTAACACCCCGTCTATCAATACTAGACAATACAATACTACGATCTCATAACTCAATTGTGACTTCATAAATGTTTTACATGTCATTAATGTTCTGCATGTTAAAGCATTCCTTAATCATTAACAAGCAGGATGCTCTTTGCGCCGACTCTGGCTTCTCACGGTTCACAACAGTGTCACAATTATGTAATAAAGCAATATAAAAAAGCACCAAACGCTCTTGAACACTGCTCTCCACCTAAAAACAAAGGAGCCGGAATCATGTGCCCCGCCAACAGAACGCATCTCGCATTTGAGACTGTTTCAAAATAATCGCAATACTTATCACACAAACTAAATTCAATGTAATGTTTATAAAAACGTTTTTTCGGAAGTACTGCACTTCCTAATTTCAATTATATCTCGTAGCGCACTAATTTTTTGTCGGTGGAGGACATCACAAAAAGAAGCGCCGAAGTCATTTACAAGTTAGCCATCTGCAAACGAATGGAGGAAAGAGACTCTAATTGGCTCAAGGACACAAAGACCCAAGAAACTTCAGTTATGTTGCCAGCCCTAGCTGACAAAACGGTTCATGCATATAAAAGTCGCTCTACACTCCAAGGGCACCGCTCCCACCGGGTCAGGAGTTTAAGTTCCAGATATAGCAGAACAGGGAAAGACAAGGCAGAAAGGGGAAGGAAAAATCGCGCGCGCTCCGTGGCTAGTTTGTGAGGGAACTGCTCCGGCATTCGCCTGGTGTTGGTCTGAGAAACCACGGAAAACTACCGATCAGAGCAGCTCACAGCTAGAATTCTCCCCGTAGCGACTGAATTTGATCTAGCTGTCTAACTAGTGTCGAAAATCCTTCGAAATCCAAACCCTAGGCCCTTCTAGTCAGAGGGATTTCCGCGACATCAGTTTGTGCCCTGGAACCCGCCTTTGCCGGTACTTTGTGTGGAATACATTACTCAGCCATGTGCTATGTGAGGTATGGTGTGATGCTGGCAATATTTCTTTCCAATACTGAAACTTGTGTAGTGGTGAGTGACTATGCAGACATTATTTTTTCATTTTATTGGTCAACAGTAAGTGGTTTTGTTTGATCTATCTCCGACACTGGGCGAATACGTTTTCTAGATCAGTATCGGTGCATCAGCCCGTTGCTCGATTCTAATGATGGGAATCTGTGCAGGTTGATGTGAGGAAAAATGGCGCGCGGTTGGTAGCCCTTTTTCTAGAGTGCTACAGTGGCATTTGCCTGGGAAGCGATCAGGTAAACCACTGGCCAGAGCAGTTGATCAACGAATTCGGTTTCGGTCGCACCATAAATGCGCTTATGTTAAACGTTTTACCCAAACTTCCATTCCCTACCGGGAACCGAATCATTGACTTCATCATAAATACGCTGGAGACAGATGTTGCTGTAATGCACTGGTCAACGGTGTTAGACGTTATCTAAATACTGAAGAAACATTCAAAAATACATTGAATCTAGTATTTATTTACGTCAAAAACAGTTAAAAACTGTGTGTGACGTGCCATGAGAAAAAGTTAATTTGATGTTACATTTATGTCCAGAAGCAAAACAAGGGACCATCTCGGTATATGCTCAAGGATCAGAGAAACAGGACGAAAACCTGTTCGGATGGGAGTCATTGAACCAGAAGCTGAAGTACAATACTTGTTAAAGGTTCTTTAGAATTATACAATCCCAATGGTAAAGAATACACTAAATGTTGTTAAAATTATACCGAGCATTCAAAATGAAAGTAATATTAGTCTCTAATTGTACAGAAACAGTTGTGCAACAAAATATATTTTACTTGGAACTTAAACTTTCGTGTAGGATTTAATCGTTTAATATGTTTAGTGATATAAGCTTTATAACGTATAATAATGGTTTAGTATATATAACTCTGCAAAACATACTTCAACATTTTGTCTATTTTTAAAAACATAGCTGGAATTCCCGTTTCGCTGTCGGCGCCCTAACAGCGAGTGGTAGAAAAATGTAAAAATTGGTTCCTCTATAACGTTGTGTGTAAGCAACAAAATATGGGGAGAGATTTTCTGAAGAAATTCTGCCTGACATCTGCTAAAACATCTGTTCACTTTCTCTTTCTGAAATCGTTCAGAGCATCCAAAGTTAGAATTCAGAGCGTAAGAATCGGTAAGTGTTGAATGAAGAAAAGTGCCAGCGACATCTGGTTCTGGCGAAAGGAATCCGTTCTCCTTACAGCTTGTAATTTCGTGCGAAGTGAATTTCTCACTGGGTTATCACGCGTAAACACGCTCTAGAAATGTAATACCAACTTGACGTAATTATACAACCTACAGTGCAGTCGAAATCCGCGTTTTGCTTCGCTTCTACACATGAGCGAGGCGGGTCGCCACGAAACTGCTCGCCTCCAGATTCTCAAGCAACGAGATCTTTTCGTGTCCTGTGTGGATTTTTGTAAGGATTAAGATTCAGAATTGAGATTAAGACATATGATTCAGAGAAATTACGGCAACGTGCACAGATGCTTTGCCGGCAGGACAGGAGGTGGCACGATCTACCGTTTATTTTAAAGCTGTTCAAAGAGTTTAATTCGAAAAAAATTCCATTCCTATCCTCTGAAAGTTAGCTAAACGACACGAACAAGAATGACGCGAAAAGCAGTGCATAAGGCCACCTGAAAATGACCTTGAGTGCTTTGAGACGCGAAGTTATTATAGTGCATAGCAGGTATCCAAAGCTCATAGCGTCATGTGAGACTTATCCTCATCAAGTGTAGTAGCATAGTTTGCCATTGCTTTCCCTAGGGGCGCTTGTGTGCCAATATTAATTTTAGATTTGAATACCAGATAGCGAAAGCAAAGATCAGCAATATTATTCAGTAATTCAAATCAATACTGATTGTGCGTTACATTTCTATAGGATTTAATTTTCAGGATCTCGGCGCCAGTAGCCAAATCAAAGAAGCCATATGTAGTCTTTCGAAAAACGTAACAAATGTCCATTAATGGAACTGTGTACTGTATTGATTTGAGCAGCTTTCACTGTTTCATTTCTAAATGTGTTAACATTTACAGCAACTTATAAGACAATATACATACAATTGTAAATTATTATTGTCTCCTAGTAAGAAGGATGTTTCAAAGTGGATCGATGTTTAACACTAATTTCTGTCAAAATTCGTTTTTATGTCCTCTTTTCTTTTCTTAGGAAAAGGCTTGAAGGAGCTTGAGGATATATTCGACGCTGCTGGTTCAACGGAAGTGTCCAGATACTTTGCAACGCATGCAGTACGTGGAAGATGATTGTGAAGGAGACACTTAGAATGCACCCACCCATCTTCTTCATCTTAAAAGAAGCTGGGTGTTGACACCCCTCTTCTATCTAGTGAGTAAAATGCGCAGGAAAGTGTATTTCGCAAGAATTATTTTAAACCTGCCTCCAACGGTTTCTTCAATACCAAAAATGTATGAGCACAAAAACTAGCTCAGTTTGGCGTCTCCGATGCAGTATGTTTAAAAGTATTTTCATATTAATAAATGTGATGATTTTATCAATTTTGAGGGATACATAATAAGGGCTGATCCCAGGAGCAAACGAAAACTTGGGTAATCCCGTTCCTCAAAAGGATCGTTTATAACAATTTCTTCCCATGGTTCAAGCCTGCCATTGTCCCTATTGTCGATTTCAACATTATAATTTCATCCCATCCCCTAGGTTAAAAACCCTGGGGTATAAAAATATGCTCCAAACGGTGGAACAAAAGATACTATTTCATTTTTCCCCAATGGGCATTTTTAATGTAATAGTTCTAATGACATCTTTATAAGGATATTTGGAGATTTGTAATAGCATCCGTGCAAACGTTCGCTACTGTTAAAATTGTGTGCTTTAATTTTAAAAATATATATAACTTGACATTCCCACGGGACCACTTCTTGGTATCTATAACATTCAGGCTGGTTACCGAGATTATGCACATTTCTAATCACCAGTGTTGGGGAGAACGGATAATCTAAACACCAACGTGCCAGAAGAATTATATTTTTTATATTTCCAATCCTAAAGATCTGATCTGATACTGAAGGCTTTCCTGGCTCTAAATTATCGGATTTAGAGAACAATTATCATGAGCTCATGAGTTGTATGTAATATGACTCTCATGAATGGAATGAATTCCAACAAACTTTAGATGCCGTCAAATAATAAATCTATAAATTTCCTTCATACTTTCGTTGGTTTAAGCACGGTCGTTTTCTATTCTGCCTCCTATGATGTATTGCAGTTTGTTGGCTAGTAGCAAAAGTGGTAAAGAAATTAAATAAACAAGAGATAATTAATGTTAGGTACAGTGCCCTGTTTGTGAAATACCAGATCAATTAAGAAAAGTGGCGTAACGCTCAAACCCGCAATTGGTGAGGTCCCTGTAAAAGAGGGCCTATTTAGTCTGAAGGTTTTGCGAATGTAAAAATATTAATTACTTGATACTTTCTCTGGTACTTTGCAAGAGTTGATACAATAAAACTTTAAAAACAGCATCTTCCAAACGAGGTTGTGCGGCTTCATAACCCTCTTTCTAAATAAACATAAGCAATTCAGTAAGGCGTTGTAACAAACCTTAATTTCATGAAATAAAAATAATACAAGAATATTTTCCCTGCTAATCATTAGACTGATGAATTCGAATGATCGAATTATATGTTTATTATTTAAGTAACTACTTGCGTTTGCTGTATGCTTTTATGAAGGAGGCCTGGATAAAAGATTGCGGGGGGACCCGCTCTCATTTCATTTCGCCATTGATTGTTAAGCACTATTTTGATAATTTATAGCACATGTTGCGTGCACCCGGTATTATGCAATAAGGGGTATCGGAATACATCTCCCCAAAAGATAAAAATCACAATAAAAATAATTACCTATTTAGCAGTAGCCCCTAAATTAAAATTGGAAAATTAATAAAGACAGCTACGACATGTTCTTAGTGACAACCTGGTTCACCCGGTCAATAGCGGTGATACTTCACCCTACTGTTCCGCAGACGTCTGCGCACTGATACACCATTTTACAGGTACGCCTATTCTCGAACGCATTCCGAGATACTAACATGTTTAGTGGATTACAACTTCAAAAGAGGTACGTACCAACATAATGAACGTAATTCACCAATCAATTAGTTCCTCCAGTGCTGCTCATCTGAGTAGTATTGTATACGTTGTCCAGAATAAATGCAAGGATATTTTCCCTGTTATAGGATTATTTATGGTGAGGAACATATTCTTGCAAAAACAACTTCAAAGTTTTTTTGTTTGTTTTGCAGGGGATCTCATTGTTCCTGAGGGCTACGGTAACGATATCCCGAAATCTTGCATATGGACCCCAAGTTGTATCCTTGATCCGCATTGTTTGATCCAGGAAACGTTTTCTCTCCCGAGAACCTGCGCCAAACGAACATCCCTACGCCTTCATACCGTTTGGTGCGGAAGATCGTGCTTGCATAGGTTTGTACTAGTTTAAAACCCCTTTCAGGAGATGATAGTGTGGAATACGCTCCTTGAAGGGAATATGTCGTAATACATTTTTAAAATTCAACACGAAATTGGGATTAGGAATTTTTAGTATATTTGTAAATGCTGGGCAGTAGTGTCCAGTGGTGAGACGTACAGCATGCTAAAATGTTAAATATTATATTTATGAGAGAAAAATTATGTATCTGGCATGTCGATCTCCTTCAATAATTTGTCCCGTTACGCGTAACACATGTTACTTTCCGCCATATACTGAGTATTTATCATCCACTGCACTTGATTTTTTGCTCCAATTTACACGTTGTCCTTGCGGAATTTCGACCTTGCAGCCTATCACCCAAGCATTGACTAATCTGCTCCCAGACATTTAGTTGTATAATGCATGTAAGTGTTACAATGTTGTTTAAACGAGGGAAACTACAGGTCAAGCCTAGGAAAGCCCATCCGATGTCCGAGAGCGCCTAACGGTCGTAGTGCGTAGCCATCTCGGACCGAGGATCGCGGGGTTCGGTCCCGCCAGGGCATGATTGTATTGTGTTCGCCCTTCACCCCTATCCATAAGTCAATTCGTGTTCATCCTCCACAGTTTACCATAACCGTTACGAACAGATGGAGTCGCTAATGACCTAGAAGATGATAAATAAATTTAATTAGCGACCTTAAATAACAAAGTATCTGGCTGCGGTATTGATCGAGAAAACCACAGAAAAACTACTACTCAAGTAATCTCCCGCTTGACAGCTCATTCAGAGGACTGGTGTCTATTGTTACCAAATTCTGGACGCTAGTTTCGAAATTTGTCAACTGTCAGAACTCAAATTCTAGGGCTCTCAATGAAACAAATGACTTTCAAATTAAGTCATCGCAGCCAGTAATAATTAGCGAATGATTCACATTACATTGCATCTCGTTACCCTCTAGAGTGTGAACTTCCGGTTGTGGACAGAAGTAAACCGGTATAGAGTTGCACACACATTTTTCTGCTAGTGTAGCTATTTTATTCTTCAGTATGGCGTCATTCTTGTTCGATTTTGTCTGTCCCACTATCTCCAGCTGCCATTTTGGTGCCTTAGTCTTTCTTCCGCGTTTGTTTATTCAATGTTTCGGTTACCTATTGTAGCTTTGAAATATGGACGTAAAGCGTGTTATTAGTTGGGCAAAATGTGATCCCATATGACATGATTTCATTGCCCACAATCTAAGATATGCTTTCAAATTTCGCATATTAATGCTCTAAGACGAATACGCTTACGAATCCCCAGAAGACCGTGTTATTAAGACATATACTCCTAGTATGTCAGCGAGAAGCATTTCCAGTCTCTGAGTGCAATCACCTCTAGTATACCTGTATCCCTTATGCCATGGTCTGTTTGCCGTTTGCAAAAATTGTTTGTAAAATTGTCAGAGTGCGTAACTGAACTAGCTACTGCCATTCGTAGGCAATCGTTGATAGCTCCCACTGAGACAACGGGCTACATGATTAGTAAGGAACGAACATGACCCTCGAGGATCATGGGCGCGAGGGGTTATCTGGAAGGGAGATCTCACTGAGGAATTCATTCCAGCGGCAGCTGCAGTTACCGCGGGAAGCCATGGTAGGACTGCTTAGGGCGCCGATTGACGAAACGCGGACGAGAAAGAACGTCAATCGAAAATGACGAGTCTGCCTATTGTGCGAAATACATCGTGTACATTCAGAAACATTACTAGTTACGTTTTGAATTAATTTGCTAAAGGAATGTTGATGAGCTTTTAATATTACTCTATTCCACATAAATAATATATTTTTGTCTTTTTCAGGAAGAGAATATGCAATGTTGCATTGGAAAATGGTCACTCAGGTAAAAGTTCATTTGGGAATTATCAGTATACATCCAGATGAATCTTATGAACCCACAGTTTATTTGGGGATCAGTACTGTGTACAAAGCAATGGAATGAGAATTAAACTTACGCGAAGCAGAAATCAACTTCCAAAATAGAATAAATTACAGGAATAGGTCTCCAAGCTAAAGATCTCAATTTTTTGTCAATTTACTCAGTTTCACAAAGTTAGCTTTATCCGTATCCATTTTACATTTTTATCTGTAAATATACAGCCACACCAAGATAAACCACAAATTTCTCACAGGAGTTAATTTGAACATAACACAATTAGAATAGTGAATGCTATAGTACAAATCAACCTTGCATATTATAAATTTATTATAAAAATTCCTGATGCGGATGGTATTAATTATTTTAAGAATTATTATTCAATCCTGTCTCTCAAATTCAATTGCCATCCAATCCAACATCAAAACAATATAGCCATGCTTAATGAATTAAATACTGAAATTAAGTTCATTATATTTTTGCATTTCAGGATGCGACCAAATTAAAGTCCAGCCCTTCGCAACAGTTCTGGCGTAGTGTTATTCTTCATTTAATTCTCATTTCAGGATAGATTATAATATATGGGGCGGAAACGCATCCCATAATACCCAGATTTTAAGACTACATTAAAATATAAAGATTAAAGCAAAATGCCATGCACGAGATACTGCAAAGCTTCTCTTTCGTTGAGCTTGAAATCCTACCATTGGACCTGCCTATGTTACTGGACGAATCTGTAAAATTTTATTTTAACCTGGCTTACTTAAGGGATTGAAAATTCTTTCATGCTGTACATAAGACGATTAGGGCAAAAGCTGGAGTGACAAACTATTTTATTTCTAAAAGAAATGTAGTCGTATTCTCACAATCTCTTTTTTTGGGGGTGAGGAAGAAATTATTTACTAATGTAAATGTTTCTAATGTTTTCACAACAAGCAGTGTCTGTGAGGTTTTTCTATTGGCCGACAAGAGGAGTAATTCTGAAATTAGTTGTGTGACTGGCCCAACGTGCGAGTGAATGTAACCAGTTGCGAGCAGCGTGCATACTAAGGCCGTGCTAAAGTGCAGCGCATAGCCCCTGGCTAAAGAGCGAAGAAATGCCGAGAATGTCACAGGGAATGGTGAAGCTCTTGACAATGTCCTTCAAACACCAGAACAGTCGGCAGAGATAGGGATCGTAGGGTCTAGCAAAACTAGGGATTCAGCAAACGCCATCTAATGACCCTGAGTTTAAATGACCGATGTGGGCCCACACGTGGGTCTGTATTAGAGTATCTGCCTTCATTCTGGGTCTTTAGAAAACTGGTTATGTTACTGCTGTTTTTGAATGCTTTGTAAAACCGTGTATGGTTAAAATGCTTTAGAACACGAAACCAGTTACTCTCATTTTCATAGATAGAAGAAACCCAATGCCCAGGCACACTCTTGGTTCTTTCATTTTGTATTTTTCACATTTTTCTATATTGTACTCTTTTTCTTATAAAAAAACTTTACCAATGGAATTATGCCCCAACCCTCGTATATAACCACAACAAACGTCGTGGAAATCTCACGTTTATCACTATAGTGGAATATCAGAATTCACTCCAAGAAATTTCCGAATAATATATGTTACATTACTTTACATCTCATTGCCAGAGAATTAAAATCATAAAAAACGAAACACACGTTTAACGTTGAAAGTTAAAATATGTTCTCTTGTTTAATGGACTTTTAGTGAATTAGACGTATTACTGAGCAGATTAAAAGGAAAAAATCGAATATTAATGATTGTAGTTTTACCATTCGAAATACTTTTAAGATAATGCGACTGCAAATTAAAAACTTCACATCCTTCTAAGAAAATGTACTGAAGGCTTTAAAGTTAATAATAGATGCCAGAAACTAAGTATATAAGACAAAAAATGGAGTAAATTAAAATTGAGGTTTATTACAACGTACATATCTAACACAATGAAAGGAGATTCACAAATTTCCGAACGCCCTGATGCGCGCGAGTATTCGAATCTGCGTACCTTTTGCGACACATGGAGGGGGCAAAAATTCGGGAGCAAAATTACGCTACTAAAAAATCTCAAATCTACCTGACATTTTTTTGAACAGATTTCATTTAACAACAAAAAACTCTATCACGTTTACTTTGAAATACTAACTTGTGTATTTATGAAAATTGCGAACAATATAGAGAAGTACGCCGTGTATGAAACCATTACCACTTCTTTACTACATACGAGGGAAAGTTAAAGAAAAAATCTAGTCATTGAGAAAAAGGTTTGTTTAAAATTGTTTCACAAATGAGTTTGCTTATATTAGTGAATGCATAATGTCCTCTTCATAACATTCGGTCAACCTTACCTTATCTTACCTTACGTCAACGAGAAGACGTTGCCATACTACGCGCGGACAAAGGCAAGTCCACTTGCGCGCGGAGGAATCAAACAAGGAGGGCACTGTGCTTGATGACGAGGCCTGCGTCCCTCTGCGGCACAACACCTGCGGAAACCACGAGCTCGGGTCCAGCACATCACCTTCACCGAACCAGAATTGAAACGGGCCAACTGCACCATCCCACCTTTGTATGGTCTTCCAAAGTACATAAAACTGATGTTTCACAATACCAACACCGTGAACTCGTCCACACATCCTCTGGCCAGGTACTAGCTGTTCGTGACAAGCTACGTCTTTTGGCAGATGATATATCGTCAACAGTTCAGCACTCCACCGATTTCATTGAACTAATCCATGAGACACAGCTAGAATGTACTGATATTTTATGAATCTACCCATACCTCGTATCGTATAAAAAGATGAAGCCCTTAGCATTCTATTTAACATCACCCATAAACATCTCATTATCGTTCGTAATATGTCAGGGAGTTTAGCTCGTTCATATCTTTTATTATATGTCTATTAGAGAAATGGTCCAAAATATACGTACTGCTGAACATTACTTCTACTGAAATTGTCAATATTCCATTTTCATGTCAATCGTGATGTAAGATGTTGCTCTCATGATTTTCTTAATTTTGCTTGCGTAACTTTCTCTAAAATACTTTTTATTATTCCTTATACTTACTACGTAAACCAGAAAGCGAAAAAGGTACAAAACTTTAAGATAACAATCTGAACCCGTTTGCTGTGAAAGATTTGGAACAGAAAACGTCATTATTGTTTCATGTTGTTCACTACTTTTTCTCCAAGACTAATTAATTGCAAAGTTAATAAACACTGGAAGACGAGTCACAGTCAATTGAGTTAATGTTGAAGGTCTTCCGCATTGGAGTGCATTAAGCGTGGTATTCAGAAAGGTGGCTATCGAAATTACGTCCAATTTTGTGGCGTGGAATTCCAAGCCACAAAGTTGCAAGTAATTTTGAAAGCTACCTTACTGAGTACACATGTCGTTTAAAGTGGAGAAAAGATAAGCAAAATTCAGACATTTTCTAAAATTTGTTTAATAAATTATAATTTCAACGAAAATGCCAGTTTGTTTTTGTTTTTTTCTATAAAAATGCTGCTATTTTTAAGATATTAAGAAATACTTGTTTAAAAAATAGACGACTTGTTTTTTGTTATTAAATGTGTTTGAGGAGTGATAGCCGTCAATAATAACACATTAATTAGCATGTGTTTGTGAAATAGAATTTATTTTAAATATTTATATTTTTGTTAACATTATGAACTTTACTGCCTTGAGTAAATTTTAGCGTTAAAATGGCGTCACAATTATAAACTTTACTGGGCGTGACTAGTACGTACATAGGATTTATTTATTTATTAACGTCAGTTAAAAACTGTGTATTACGTGCTATGGGGGAAGTTAATTTGAAATTACATTTATGTCCAGGACAAAAGCAAGGGGCCATTTAAACATTTGCTCGAGAATTAGGAAAACTGGACAAAAACCTGATCGAGATGGGCGTCATTGACCTAGAAGCTGAAGTACAATACTAGTTACAGGTTTTTTTTACAATTATACAATCCAAATGGTAAAAATACATTAAATGTCATTGTTACAATTAATATTACTTACTTTTGAATGCTCGGTATAGTCTCTAATTGTATAGAAACATTTGTGCCGCAAAAAACATTTTCCTTGTAATTTTTGTATGAAATTTTAATATTTTAATGTCATCTGGCGAGGTGGTTTAAAATAATATACATGTATTACATGTGAATTTTTGTAGCTAGCTGTTGATACTGTCACCTGATTAATATGATCACTACGTCGAGTCTTGTAGTTATAGACAACGGCGTTTGCGGAAAATATATTCTCGCACTTAAGACATTTTTGATAAAAACCACTGATTCATATATGAAGAGATAAGGTGAAGGTAAAATGCCTAGATGAATAAAGAGGCTTACAAGAATCACGTGCGTGAGATTTACTTATTATTAATACTATTCGTCTTTGTAATCTAAAAGTCTGGGAACTATAATATGTATTTCCCCTGAATATTATGCCATATCTCAGGCGGGAATGAATATTCGCGAAATATACACAAGTGCAGTGTGTAGGATGACTGAATTTGAAAGAATTCTGAAAGCGTAGCATAAAAAACTTAATTTAGTGTTCAATTCATTTAAATGGACGTTCTATTTAAGGTTTAACTGAATAGAAAGACTGAACTTTCGTTACTTTAACATCAGTGAATGGCACTCACTTCAGTTTGTGAAGCGCAGAGCTGTTTATTTGAAATGGCAAACTGCATTGAAACAGTTATATTTTCATTTACTATTTATTTGTTATTACGGAACCAATTTGAAATGTCTGCTATTGTACTATTTACGGTAATTGTTACGAACCCTCATATGCGAGGTAAAAGTTTGGAATTTGGATACGTCTAAGTTCATTATCAAATAACCTATGTTCCGTAAAGCAAAGAATATCCATCTGATTTAAATCCCTCTGTACAGCTGTATCGATAAACTCAGTTTTATTTGAAAGGGATTGAACATTATAGCATTAGTTAATGGAGTCAATTCCCATCTAATGAACTGGAACAGTGATCTTTAATTAGGTTGAAACTGTTCTTTGAATCAACCTTCCGCATTTATAAATTAAAACTATTTACGCGATTTTCTTAATTACAAATTGCCCACCACAGCAGATTAATATATGGTGGACTACATACAAAATGCTTCCAAACAGTGCAATGTCACTCAGCGTGACAGTCACAA